AAACCATGTTGATATCATGGGGATTTTAATGCGAGTTTCATGGGAGTTCATGATGATTTTCCATGGTTTTTGACATCTTTTGACCATCAAATATCTGGATCTGACCGGTTGCCTGTGGTTTTAAGTACGTATCAAAGATATTGCGATATCTTGGCACCCCCCAAAAAATATAAAGTAGATTTAACCAATGTTTTTTTTTTGGTGCTACTACTGGGTGTGATGTAATGATTTGTTGATTTGTAGCGATAGAAATCATTGTGAATTAGCCACCATAATGATGATTATAATTTATTTGATGATATATGATGTTAATACCTGGACAACAAACATTATGTCAAATTCAAAATGCCGATAATCATGATCCTACTACATAATGATCTATCTATCTACATTGATTAATACTAATGAAACTAACAATGATAGCAGTCATATGGGAGATAAACTTCATGCGTGGCGCCCCGGAATCACCAGATCCAATGATCATCCAACATGGACAGATTTTCCCATGAAATGAACCAACATAGAAAAATGTTCATTTCATATGTATCCATAGTAAAGGTATGTAAAGGTTTATTTTTCATATATGATTTATCATAAGTCCAGTCATGAGACCATGTTTTTGTTTTTCCAAGATACGCGATCCGTCCAGAGTTTCTGTGGTAACAGGAGTTGTGCACCACTGGGATTGAGATATATGTGGGTACCCCAATAGCTGGATGGTTTAGTTCATGGAAAATCCCAAAGAAAAATGGATGATAACTGGGGGTACCCCCATGACTTAAGACACCTCGGACCTCTATATACATATAAATATATATATATACATTCATGTTGAGTTGGTTCCAGCATGTTTCATGTCACCATTGTCAAGCAACTCATTGGGTTCCTGCTCAAGTTTGAGCACGGCATTTGTCATCACAACGTCTGCGAAATCGGCCATGGCTGGGAGACTTCTTCTCGGTGTGGTCACATTTTTCAGCGGCACTGCCGCAGTCCGTAACTCGTTACTTTTCAGTAAGAAGCTACCAAAGCTTTCGACCAAATCATGAGAATAATGCAAGGCATGTTTTGGGCCCCCCAGGTAGTACATCATAGTACATTGTACTATAGATTTATATTAGAATTATTAGATGGGATTAGGATAGTTGTTGCACAGGTTATGGTTCCGACTTTGGGATCAATCCTGTTTTTAGATGTTTTTAGCGGGTCAGGTACTGTGGCTCTAGGGAGCTCGGAGAAACATTTCATGGAAGACTATGTCGCCTCCGAAAATTTCACCAAGTTTTCCAAGAAGATCGGCAATTTATTTAAGAGCTGCTGCTGCGTGAGGGCATCTGATTGGAAGACCTACAAGGACCAGGGGCCCACAGCAAACTTTCAGATTTACATGGATGATATATTATATATATAGATAGATTAGATAGATAGATAGATAGATAGATAGATAGATAGATAGATAGATAGATCGATAGATCGATAGATAGATCGATAGATCGATAGATCGATAGATCGATAGATCGATAGATAGATAGATAGATAGATAGATTATATATATAGATAGATAGATAGATAGGGCCTAAGAAACCATATAGAACAGGTGATTCCTTAGGTCATACCACGTGGCCCCCAGTTGTAAATTGCATCAACCATCTAACAGAATACTACTTAGATACCCATATCTTGACGCCTTGCTATTTATACCGGTATATTTTTTAAAAAAACTATCTTGGTAGCCCCGCCTAACATAACATAAGGATTCAACCCAAAACATCGCCCCCTGGCATTCATCTCAAAATGGCTTAGCAGCGGAACCAATTAGTGTAACCTTCCATGGCAGTAACCGAATGAATCTAACTTCAGGATGGTTTATGGTATAGGCTTTACCACATAACAGTTCGTTTGGTGGTAATGGCATAGGCCCCCCATTGAGTTGGATTATTTTTCCATCAAAACATCTCCCATAAAAACCTCGGAAGTTCCGCAGCTCCCCTGAAGAACGAATTTGGCTTCTCGACGGACAACTGTCCGGAGGTGGCATGTGCGAAAGATTTCGGGAAAGGACATGGTGCGCGCTGCGATGAGAGGACGTGGCGTCTGATAGGTGATTTAACAAAGATTTCTATAGTAAACAGCATGAGCATTTTGTGATCTTAATAGATGGGATACAACTTTTTTTGTGTGTTTTTTATATATTTGTTGAATTCAACAAGTGGAATTCCATTGACTAACTCATGTTTTTTTCCCGAGTGGCTGAGCACGCACCAGGCCTTCCGAGCTCATGAATACTTCAGGTCAGGTGATCTACCGAGCCAATTCTCCTGACATCTTCTGTGACGTCCTTTGGCGATGTGATTCGGAGTACACAAAGAAACAGCACTTCGCTTCGGAAATCCAAGACTGGGATTGGCGGCGTCGACAGCAGCTCTTCGATAAGAACTTGTATGATGTTGACAAATGGTGAAGCCAGTGTCAGGCTGACATTGTATTTGGCTGAGAGAAAAAGAAGCCTCTGAAGGTGAATTGTTAATCTATTGGTTTGTTAGGTCAAGAGAGTGACTTACATAGTCCCATGACCGTACTATTCAATGCTTCCATTGAGGTAGCCCAAAAGGAATACATCCAACATATTTAAATATATTTAACTTAGTATACCGCTAAACCATTTCATTGCTGGTTACCTATACCCCTTGTCTCCATTATTAACTTAGCCATTTTGCTCAGTTCAGACCTTCGTTATCTTCAATCACCCCCTTGCGTTTCAACAAAACATGGCAACAGATTCAACAGATGACTGAGAAGACAACATCAAGGACGTAGTTCTCCATGTTTTACCCACAGTTCTGGCCCAAGCAGTCAGTGAAACCAGCCCATTGATGGTTACTGATAAGCCCATTTCTCAGGCAGTGGAGCTCTTCGACGATGTGCTTGAAGCTGACCAGGTGATTTTGTGGAATGGGAATATCATCGGAACATAGGGATATCATAATATTCCCATGGTATTCCCATTTTCCCAGCATTTTCCCAGCATTTTCACATAGAAATTCGGAAATGCTGGGAAAACACAGTGGGATAACTAGATATTCATGGGATTGATCGCTGATTCCAAAACCCAAAACACCGTTGGTATGTTGTGGTTGAGCCAAACTCAGAACCTGGGGTCCGCATTGTAGGGATAACCATTTCTAATTTAAATTCATGGGACATATATGGACATATGGAGGTTTCCATTTTATGGGGGTACCTCCAAATCATCCATTTGTTCATAGGCTTTCCCCATTATAAACCATCCATCCAGTTTGGGCTACCCCATTTATGGAAACCTCCCATATATATATATATACATATATATATATATATGTTATCTACTGCTGTATAACCTTGCCTTCAATATTTTGAATATTCCTGAATGGTTTCTACCGCTGACAAACCCAAAGGGTTGATGATCTGAAATTCTGACTATGATAGATTCCGGGCTATACCTATGGGATTTTAATTGGGGTTTGTATAATTCGGGATATTCGGGGCACCAGCATCATCCAAGTTATATATTGTTATTGTTTTTTTTTTAAAACTGGGAAAGCCAATAGTGTGGGGTACTGTACCCCCAATTTTAAGAAACATGGTACTTATGGATGAAGCACATGGAAATCACTAAAACAAAGTGAATTCGCGAATCACCATAATTCAACCAGAATTGGGTCGATGCATCATGTCATGTAGGCTTATTGTCCGGCAAACTAACACATACAGCTATGGAATAGATTCACCATTGGATTGCCAAGAATGAAAAAGTTGGGTTGGTTGCCTAACTGACAGGCAACTGAAAGAAGAGGGTGTGTATATATATATACATTCTATAAATACATTTATGTATATGTGTATATATATATATGTATATGTAAATATGTATATATGTATATATTTGTATATATTTATTTATGTATATGTATATGTATATATTTTTATATGTATATATGTATATATGTATATATGTATATATGTATATATGTATATATGTATATATGTATATATGTATATATGTATATATGTATATATGTATATATGTATATATATATATATTTGTATATATGTATATATGTATGTATATAATTATGTGTATGTATACAGTTATGTGTATGTATATAATTATGTATATGTATATAATTATGTATATATATATACATATAAAGTCCAACATCGATTGCGTGTACTTCAAATTATAGCCGTCAAACAATGGGTGAACTGAGTTGAAGAAACCATTTGATTTGGGGCATAATATTTGTTTAACCCAAATGTCCGGGTAAGAAAAATGAAGATACCCTCTGGTAATTTAACATAGCTATTGAAAAGGGCCATAGAAATAGTTGATTTACCCATTAAAATTGGTGATTTTCCATAGTTATGTTAGTTTACCAGAGGGTACCCTTCAACAATCTGGCAATATTTAATGCGATTCAATGGGTTGATCTAAGGGACAGTCTACAGGACACTATGGTTTTTACCATCACAATCATTACATACAGGGGTTTTCGGGGTTTCCTGTCAATTCTCCCATCATCCACTGACAAATATACAACTCCAAGTTTGAATGTGTGATTCATCGACATTTGGTGTTCTTTTTTTGTGTGTTATAGTCAGATTTCATGAGGGTCTTTGGGGGGCATATGAGATTTCATGGAAAGTCTCTTCGGCACAAAAAACATACAATGTGGGGCCCCTCAGTGATAAGTTTATTTATAAATCATAATGACTTATTAACTGTAGGTACAAATATCATAAACTATAGTTATTGGAATTATAAACCAATTAACTAAGCCATCGGGGGGGCCACTTTATAGGGTCGTTGTCGCATTCCTCATTTCCCCTTCGTTTTGCTTGAAGTCTGTTTCTTTTTGTAGTTTTCCATCCATGGTTCGTAGGTCCGTAAACCAAGGTCTGAGGAAAGAAAGAGTATTTTTTGCCACCCAGCATTGAATGCCCAATTAACTATATTTAATATATTTTTATGGGGGTTTCCATCAATGGTGGTACCCCAATAGCTGGTTGCTTTACAATGAAAAATCCGAAAATAGAATGGATCATTTGGTACCCCCAGTGCAGGAAACCCCATATGTTGATTTGTAGGAACCCAACATTTTAAGATCTAAAAAATCTGCTGCCACTTGAGCCCCAGCAAGGCCAGTGATGCCAGCGGCAGTGAGGGCAGCGAAGAAGGTTGCCACAGGGTGAGATACCATGAAAATAGGGATCTTACACCCAGGAATGGTGATTTTTTCATGGGATACACCCAACATTTGATATTTGTTTGTGTGTCAATGGGCAAACACCCTTCTAAATCTTTACTTCTCTGGTGGTTTCCTAAAATGGGGGGATACCCCCAAAAACGGCAGCGGACGGACACCTCCAAGATAGACAGATAGTGGGCTTTACCCCTGAAATCCCAACCCTGAAGTATCCTGAAGTGTTGTGGTTGTTCATGTTTTCTGGAGTAAAACCAAGAAGTCAACGAGCTGGTTGGATATGAGGTATCACTAGCCTGAAAACAGCTTCCATATGGTTGCATAATTATAATTTGCTTATAAGGTGCTTTTGACAACAAGCCATCCCCAAGGTGTGGTTCATGTGTATCCCCTTGGACCATGATGACAGTCCCGTCAGAACCGATTGCCAGAGGTGACAGCAGTGAGGAGGTACGACTCTGGGAGGTGATCTAGCCCGATGTTTGGAAGATTTGAGTATTGAAACCTACCCTCTGGTAATTTAACATAGCTGTTGAAAATAACCATAGAAATAGTGGATTTACCCATTGAAAATGGTGATTTCCCATAGTTATGTTAGTTTTCCAGAGGGTATGGCTTAGGGATGTTTAGGGGCTATCCCCCCGTTTTAGGAACCATGTGTTTAGGATTGTTGAGTCAAGTGCTCTCAGTTTTACGGTTGAATAATTTCCATTTTCTGGGAAAACATGAGAGCACGATGGAACGCCCAGCATTTGGAGAAGCTTCTCACAGTTGCACAGTGATTGAGGCAGTTGCCCAATGCACAGTTCACGGGGGATACTGTTTTCATCACCTTTGCTCTGAAGAATGCCCAAGAAGCTCCCTGCTTGTTATTTATTTCTCTTAATCATTCTGTAATTATTCTTAATATTTCTTAATCATTCTTACTCATTCTTAACCAATATCCTGTGTCAACGATAATAGCGCATGGGTCTCCCATTTCTTTCTCAAGTTTTATCTGTTTCTGGCTGCCATAGGGATGATGCACTCGCCGTCAGGACGGCAGCGACGCGGGCAGCGACGCAGGCAGCGACGCAGGCAGCGACGCAGGCAGCGACAGAGGCAGCGACAGAGGCAGCGAGAGGGGCTCTGGCAGCGAAGGCTCTGAAACGGATGAGGAGCGTGGTGTGCGCAGGGAATGATGGGTCTATGGTCGCTGAATGTAGCGAACTTGACAATCAGCATCAATCACCATTTTTTAGTGTAATAGGTAGATCATGGTACAGTAGATCATGATGTTTGAAATGTGCAATTGTCCATAGCTATGTGACATATTTAATTAACCAGATAATGATTATATGATGTGTGTGTGTGTTAAAGAGGTGTATACCGTATACCATCGTATACATGAAATCATTGCTATTCTAGTACGAAGAGTGATGATTAGCCATTATTTGTTTGGGGTACTTGATTTTCGGAACGCATATGGATACATATTTACCCTGGCAGTCCACGACTTTTGAAAGAAAGCGTGTTTCAAATCGACCACAGGTTTTCAATTAACCTTACCTTGCAATCTTCATCTCTTCGCCCTTTCATAAACGCCCACAATAAGGCGTTCGAAACAAATAGCCTCAATATTAAATCATATTAAATAATAGGTGCTAGAGTGCTGCTAGAGTGTTTATATAAATATATGTATATGTGTGTTTCATATTTTTAGGGGGATGTAATGCCAACATAATTGTATGGCTAGGCAGTTCTTGGTACCGACAATAGTTTTTATTCATGAAGTGTTGTACTCGAAAAGGAGATGACATGATCTCGGATGCCACAATACCATTAAATCAGCCATTTGGTGGCTAATTCCCAGAATATAAAGCTTTCCACGAGTATAGTGGTGTAGACGAAGCTTGAAACCTCAAACTGGGCAGGGTTGATTACGTTGGATCCCCTTGCGAACATCTCGCCCAAGAATGGTTCCCTTTTGTAGGTTAATATACCATACATGATGCAGCCTTTTGGGAATGGTACAAGGTGGTGCCCCCCAGTTCAAGTTGGTTTAGAAACCCATTAACTAAAGATATATATATATATATATATCTACCATAAACCATAGTTATTGAAGTTGTTGGCACCAAATTAGCTAACTATGGGGCAACACATTGTAGCGCATATTTTTTAGCACATAGGATTTACCAAGTCTGGAGAGTAGTGAACTCCGGACGATTTTGTAGCCTCATCTTCCGGTCCTTGAGATAGTGTCTTGTTGCTGTGCTTT